GAATAAGGCTGAGTGCAATTACCCTATAACTGACCAGGAATGTCTTGCGATAGTGTGGGCTATCAAACATTTCCAACACTACTTAGGATTGAAACCTTTCACAATTGTTACCGACCACTCTGCTCTAAAATGGTTAAAGACATCCAAAATCCCAAAAGGTCGCCGTGCAAGATGGGTCATGGACCTTCAACAGTATGACTTTAATATTAAGCATCGAGCAGGAAAAGCAAATGCAAATGCAGACGCATTATCCAGAATGTTTGAAGAAGATAATCAAACTCTTAGTTGTTTCATGATTTCTATCGAAAAAGAAAGACAAACTAATGCAAATGAAAGCTTTACTCCAGTACATGAAGAGTATGATGCAGATTCAGAAGATGATTATACTGATAGACCTGCTCAAAGAGCCATCGATTTGTTAAATCATTGTGATAATTTATTATACGATATGCAAAGCTACATTGAAGAACGATCAGGAAATAGTTCTCCTATCAATATTATTTCAGGAATTCGATATGAGTTTGACAACCTCAATGGACCTCATTCAGAAGATTGTATTTGTAAAGATTGTCAACCTCCTCCAGCCCGTTCACCATCACCATATAGTTGCTGCAATGAAATTATTTGTCAGTGTAATGAAGATAACTATTCAATTGATACAGAAGAATATAATAATTCGTGGGAAAGACAAATTAATGGAGAGGCATTCTCTGATTATTCAGAAGAAAATCAGATCAATATTGAAGAACATATCGCTTGGACCATGTGTGGTATGGACCGTCAAGCTCTAGAAAACATGTATTTAGAAAACATCAAAATTAAACAAGTAATCGCTGGTCAACCAATCAATCATGGTGGAAGTCGTTGTACCATGGAATGTGATACAGAAAATCATCACGTGCACACATATTGTACGATGTGCAAGAAGAATTTATTTTATGGAACTACTATACATAACTGTATCATTGGATTCACTTTAGGAAAAATCAGGCCAGATATGAATCCCAAATTTCTTATTAATAATCAATGGTGGAAAGAACCTCAAGCAGTACAACTTGAAAATAATATCAATTATCTTAAATATATCGAACGATTAATTAATTATTTACCAGTTTACAAAGTATCTTTGGAACCTTTCATTGCCAATTTGGACTAAAAGTCCACCTCTTTTACATATTATAATTAACAAAGTATCAAA